CACTTACTTTTATCTATAAGAGTTTATTCCTTTTACAAAATATATAGATTAGATTAAAAGATTTTATTTGGTTTGAGATAAAGAGATATGAAACTATAAATGATTTACCTTTACAAAAACAAAACAAGTTTGAACTAACCACAATATTCTCTTCCATTGCAGCATCGCTCATTGCCGCCTGTGCCGCCGAAACCGCCAAAGCGTGGCATACTAAAGGGTTCACGCAGCAACATATCCAATGTACATGAAGAGATAACGATCACATCGCCTGAAGCACAGCTGCTCGTGATGCGCAACACAATGCAAAATGAGTTGCCCTTCGATGGTAGTCGCAGCAATAGCATAAGTGGCGCAGCTACCGGACGCAGTAGCATGGGTGCAGTCGGCGGCGCCGGCAATTCAGGCGTTAATCCTCACACGAGCAGCGGCACCGCCTTCACCTCAGTGGAGAGTTTGCGTAGTGATGAAGGTGGTAGTGCGGGTATACAACGCGCTATGACACTGCCGACGACTGCACGCTACGCACCACAACTGCCACAACATCATAGTGGTAATCTGCGTGTGATGACTTCACCCTCACCGAGCGCTGACAGTCTCACAGATACGACAAATTCTTCCTTTGCCACGCCGCCATTTTCTCTTAGTCCCATCGGTGAGTCGCAGGGTATTGATCGGTGGTCACGTGTTCATGCATTCGAGGATGTGGAATTACCATTGCCACCGATTAAATTGGTGCAATTGCCATCGGCGCGTGAACTCGTCATTAGGCGACAGAAATCGCCACGCAATGATTTCGGTTTTAGTTTACGTAAAGCGATTTGTCTGGATCGCGCGGAATCGCTGACCTCGCCCGCATTCAAACCGGTCATATTTGCTGAACCCGGTGCGGGTGGTGGCGCGACCGGACTGCTGCCGGGTGATCGGTTGCTTAAAGTGAACGGCACGCCCGTAAGTGAGTTGTCCCGTGAGGTGATCATCGAGATGATACGCAACAGTGGCGATTCGGTCACAGTGGAGGTGAGTGGAAGAAATTTTAGTTAGGCTATTCATGTTCACATTTGTCAAACTTGCGCAGGTACAACCCGTGTCGGAATTAGTAGAGCTAAGTAAGCGCTGCATGCCACCACAAGGCATTGGTATTGTCGCCAATGCTGATGATGAAGTTGATCGCGCTGCAAGGAATGCGAATTGCAATACGCTTAAAAGGAGTGCTAGCAAGCGTTTTAAACAGCAGGTAAGTGATTGTATATTATATGTAGAACATGAAATCTCGCTAGGATTACATATTCAGCGGTTTGCCAAATTACTTTTAGTATGAAAGGCATCTTATTGCTGAGGGTTCAAATCATCGCTGAATAACTATAGAAATTATTTAAAATAAATCTAATGGTCGATGATATAGTCTGAGGGTTTATTTACATTTTTTACTATTTTACTGGAATGAGTTTATCAGACCAAATATCTTACAGCATGCTGTTTTGCTTTTAGCCAACCACAACAACAATAACCACTGTTTTTAGAGTCCCAGCAGAAACAAGTGTAGAATTTGTGGTTTCTATAAATTTATTATCTGGAGTGATTATCTGTTAGCAACAAATTTCTTGCATATTTTATTTAGAGAATCATATAAGTTGTTTTTTTGTGAAAACTGCGAACACTCATAGAGAAAGTGAAAAAAACTTTTATGTAGTATGTTGGAAACAGTACCATCGCTTCGGGAAAGGTCTGCGAAAGTCTCTTCCGGATTCAGAAACCGATTTTCTGTCTTCTGAGCCCATGAATATATTCGACTTTTCAGCGCTTTCGTTTTCCAATAAATAACGCTCGACTGTGAATTCAGGAGATAATGGGGTTCACTCGTTCTTAAGATGAGTATTCTCTTGCGACTTTTATATTTCGCCAAGGCAATGTTAGTGAGATATAACGATGTCTGGCGCTTGGCTTGAGTGAATAGTTGCTTAGAAAATGTATATGCAATCAGGAAATGTTGGCCGAACTTGGTTTACTCTATTTCGCTATTGTTTGTTTGCTGTGCTCTGTTGTCTCAAGGCAGTTATAATTTTTCTTTGCTTTGCATACTAAACTGAAAACTCTGATTACCATTGCTCAAGACGTTTAACAAATTATCAAGCAATAACATACCAGTAATTCCATTGAAATATATATTATTGACTTGCTTGCAGCAAATTGAAACTATAAATGCAAACTTGTGTACATACACACATTCACATACTTTTGGTCTTAAGCCAACGAAAGCGAATTTGTCCGCATGACAACATTCGCGAATTCGCTTACATACACATATGCGCTTGAAAAATTCTCAAATAAATATGCTACGACATTTTTAAGGTGTAATAAAAAGTGTTATAACGGCTTGTTTACTTTGACTAATGCTTCGAAAAATGGGCAAAACGACGAGTATTAACACGAAATGCACCGCAGGAGTTCGCACGCATGCATTAACAAAATAATATTGTGGCACATAAATAACGGCTGACTGCTGACAGTGGCAACAACAATTACGAAAAATTGCGAATTTAACAAAAATAAAAGAAAAAAAAACAGCTGGCACACACCTCTTAGCAGCTGACAATTTAACGCCGAAAAAGATTAGAAAATATTCGCTAAATAATTTTGCTTTCAAAGCTAATTAAGAATGAACCTTAGACAAATATAATATTTACCCATTATACATATGTATAATGTATGCGTATGTGTGTTGTATATTTGCGTAGACCTTAATAAAAAGGCGTCTTTAACAAAAATTATTACAACAAAAATTTAAAACAAGACTATGTGAGTAACCAATAATTCCTTACTTATAAATCGTCTACTACTCTACGTTGAGTTAAATAGAGTTCCACGAGCAAGGGCGTTGTGCGCTGAAGTTTGCGTCATGGAATGCAAATTTACTTTTTTTTTGGGCTTTTTCCACAGATATATGCCCATATCATCGTAAAGAAGTAACTATTTGTTTAAAAATTTGCAGTTTTTGTTGTTTTTATTATCTATCAACAATACGACCAACCTTATTACAGTTAACGCGCATATAAAGCACAGGAACTGCGCAAAATGTGCACTAATTGCAAAAAGAGAAAAAAAAAAATTTATTTGAAAATCAATATAGTATTAGTCTCTGCCAGCTTGAATTTATTATTCAATTACTCAATTTTTTTTGACAGTACTGATGACTACTCCACAGTTCTATATTGTTCTACTAATCAGCATATCACTAACTCATTTGTATATTGATTGGCTTGAAAAGCAAGTATGCGAAGATTTTTTGAAGCCAAGCCTATAAAATAACTGAGCATATGCTTAGGGTTTTTTATATTCAATTTATTATGAGATTTGTTTTTTCGGGAATTTTTGCAACTTTATAATCATTCTATATTGCTTATTGAGGTAGCTTATTTTAAGGAGCACTTAACATATATATTAATAAATTACAATTAACTTTTTAAGTGTTTGCCGCAATTTATTTGTTAATCAGCCATGTATTTTACTTCATAAATTTATATGGGTTTAAATTGTTGTTGTTGTTGTAGCGGCAGAATTCTGCCGAGTTGACCGGTCTTGGCCGGATAAAAATGCGGGTCCGTGCCGGTTACGTAGACCCGACTGTCGTGGAAACGGGTTTAAATTAGTATTATCTTTTAGTTAATTTTTTTATATTTAATTTAAAACAATAATTTACTAAATTAAAAAAAATTATAATTTTTTATGTAAAATAAATTTTTGTTTTAATTTCGATTTTTCTCTGATTATATCGGGTTTCAAGGTGGGGTGATATGTTAAGTGTCATTTCGGGTATTTTTAATATGTCATGATCTGTAATTTTTTTTTCATTGTATTCAGTAATGTTTACAATTTCATCGTGGAAATATATACGCAAGCACAACGTTTACTAATTATTCAATTTTATCCTCACAATTAATCGTTCTCCAATCACAACTTTTCGTGCGCTTGTGAGACTCACTTTCATCTAAGTGGTGCGGTAAATAAACAAAACTGTCGATTCTGGTGCGAAGAAAATCCACGAATTATTCATGAACAACCATTACATTCATTTAAATTGACAGTAGGGGTGTGGCTTTTCTTCTGGTGGAATCATCGGTTCGTACTTTTTTCGAAATGAAGCTGGTGACACCCTTACTGTCTATGGAGAGCGCTATAGATCGATGATAACCAACGCAATTGGAAGAAGTTGATCTTGACAACATCTGGTTCCAACAAGACGGAACTACGTGCCACACAGCACTTACAACAACCGAATTATTGCGAGAAAAGTTTGGAGATTTGATAATTTAAGAAATTGTGACATTGAAGGGCCTCTAAGAAGTTGTGATTTAACATCATTAGATTATTTCTTGTGTGGGTATTTGACGTCATTAGTGTTTAGCAATGAACCAGACTCTTTTCAAGCTTTAGAAGTCAATATTGAATGTGCTATTCATGATATACGACTTGATTTAGTGGAAAAAGTACTCGAAAATTGGGTTCTTCGAATTCGTTCCAGCAAAATAAGTTGTGGATACCATTTGAATGATGTTATACTCCGAACTTAATTGTATCGATTGTACTTCACAGTAAATAAAAGAAATTTGAATTTCCTACACAATTAATGTGTTGTTTTGTTTTTAATCCTTCTTATTGGAAAACCCTTTACATATGTAACTTTATTTAAATTTTTTTTTTTTTAATTTAAAATTTACATATTTAAATATTCAATTTAAGTTTGCTTTAATTTAGTAATCAAATGCTATATTTTTTTATACCGCGTTTTTTGTATAGTAATTAAACTTAATTCAAATTCAAAGATTTAACTTTAAGTTTTGATTTAAATATATAAATCTAAAGTAGAAACATTAATTTGTGTTAGTTTACACCTTTAAATTTATTTGTTTTACATATTTTTTAATATTAGTTTTTAGTTAAATAAAAAATTTACGCCTTTTATATATTTCTTTATTCTATTTAATTTAGTTATAATAAACAAGTTATTATATAATATTTTATATTGATTCCGTTAATTTTTTTCTTTGTCAAAACTACTTTAAACATTTATTTAATGCTGGCAGTATGGCAACACCACCGCAACGTCGGTGCTATGCGCCACCAACGCAAACGCATTGTGCTCCACACTCTGCTGCAATTATTGTTGTTGTAAATGCTGGTGGTGTTGCTGCTGTTTCCTACGCATAACGCGTCGCACAGTAGGCGATAATTGCCGCAATGCTAATTGAAACGATGTCTCGATGTATTGTTGCTTGGGGTTATGTTCTTTTTGTTGTTGTTGTTGTTTCTCTTCTGCTGCAATTGAATTGTTTTTCTCGCAACTCCCAGCTTTTTATATCTTTAGCGGTATGAATTCAGAGAGTTGGTGCTCTCACAACTACATGTGCATAAACATATACTTATATAGATATGTTTGTGTACGTAGCTTACATATGTATCGTAAAAATCATACTCGCACATTGTGGCTCCACGGTGTTAAAATAAGCGATCGCCACTCCAACTCTGGTAAGTTTGATAGTTTTAATATGTGTTTGTGTGAGTTTTGGTAGGGAGCCGCAGCACCACTACCAACACAGCCGGTGTGTCGCCAGCAAACAGCGAGCAACTTTGCCACATTCAACTGGCAGCAACTGAACACTGTCATTTAGTTTGTTTGGTAACTTTGTTATGCACGGTCGATTCGCAAGCTTAAGCCGATCGTGTTGTACTTCCATACATACACTGAAATCCGATTAAATTTGTTTTGAAGTAAATTCCTAAACTTCACCATAACTTTAACTCTGTTCGAAATTAAGTGGCGTGCGAGAGCCCTTTGTTGCGTTGTGCTGTTACGTTAATGCAATTTTTTTTATCATATATTCCGCCCTTGTGTTACATTGTGTTTGTATAATTGTAGTGCATTTAATTTTGTTGTTTTTGTTTTGTAACTTCGATGACATCGGTTTGCAATCATCACCGTTGGCCGGTGTTTAACTTTTCATTGTGTGTCTCTCCAATTTGATGGCCCTTTAATTGTCGTTATTGATTAACAATTTACATTTGACGGCCTTTGTGTTTGTGTTTGTATTCGGTGCTTCTAAAGTGTTTGCTGTTGTTATTAGAGTTGATATACTCTGAACATTATAATAAAAGTAGCTAGAGCCGCAGCGATCAAAGAACAGTGTTTATTGAGATTTTCGTTGCAAACATTTCTAATACTTATTGTAGTGATTACGTGTTTAATTGGTTTATGATTTCTGAGCTAAATAAGTTAGTGATTTCATTCACCAAAATTCGTATACGCAATAAAAAAAAATTTTAAATAAATAAAATTTAAAAGTAAAACAACAACATAAATTACACAATAGAATGCATATACAATAATACCCTTCACAAATAAAAAGATTTGCATACAAGAACTTGATTTTGATCGTTCAGTTTGTATGGCAGCTATATGCTTTAGTGGTCCGATATCGAGAAATGAGCAGCTTCTTGGGGAAAAAAGGATGTGTGCAAAATTTTAAATCAATATCTCAAAAACTGAGGTACTAGTTCTCGTATATACCATACAAACAGACGGAGACAGAGATGGTTAAAACGATTTAACTCATCACGCTGATCATCATTAATATACCTTCTGCTCAAGTATAAACGAGACTGGCTCAATAAAACAAAAACATTTATTTTATCCCCTTCAAAATAGTCACCATTAGAGGCGATACACATATGCCACCTTTTTCTCCAATCTTCATAACACTTCTGGTAGGCCGCTTTAGGTATGGCTTTCAGTTCCTTCTTCGAATTCTCTTTTATGACTTCAATCGACATACATTTTATAGGTTCTGCGATGTTCCCTTCCTTCTTATTCGGGTATTGTAACAACACATAGCACAACCGAATAGTTCCAGTTAATACGCTGAATTTGAGTTTAATTTCTAATTTTGTTGTTTAAAATGAATAAATAACAAATCCTTGTTGTTAAGCGGGTATTCTAGTCTAGAAGCATGAATTTCAGGTAATTTTGGAAGTGTCGTACAAAAAGTAATTACTATTTTTACTATCCATTTTTCTATTAGCTTTCTTTTATTTATAACCATTACAAGAATACATTAAAAAATCAAAAATATAAAAAAAGTAAAAACAAAAATTAGCAGCTGCTAAAGTGTAACGTCTCAAAAAGTTGGCGCTTGACCATACCCACGATTTCAGCCCTCCAAGCCATCTAAAAGGAAACTAATTATTAATTTAGAATAATGTCGAAATGTCTGGAACTAAGGAAAAGTTTGAAAATAATTTTTTTACGAAATTGCGACTGAAAAGTGTACCTTTTTTTTTACTGTTTCGAATTTTTTAAAAATAGTAATTTTAAATTTTGGGATATGGCTCTAGTTCCATACATAGACTTATAGACTTGAAAACTCTCTAAAAATTTCAGTTAAATCTGTCCATTAGAACCTGAGAAATCGTGGATATCGCTTTGAAAAAGCCAGTTTCGAGAAAAACGCGTTTATGGTTTCAGTTCTGACCGAACCAGTGCACACCGGGTCAGCAAAAGAGCTATATCTCCAAAAATAATTTGAATTTTCAAAAATCCTTTTGTAGACATATACTTAAATAGCTAAACTTTGAAAATATAAAAAGAAAAAAAAAATTGATTTTTTTTTTATTTCTAGACTACAATACCCCATTATATATAAAAAAATAAAAACTTTGTATAAACTTCCATTACAGTTTTTTTATTATTATTATTAATTTCAATTATTTCCTGCACTTACCTTTCTAGCGTCTAAACATTTCGTTTTTATAATGACAGCTGTTTTCGAAAATATTTTCACCTCTGCTTAATGCTTATGAAGTCGCCCTAGGATTGACATTTCTGCAAATGTTAAGGAAAAAAATGCATCAAAATATCAAATTTATTACAATCACATCACATATGCATAAAATCACTATTAAAGTTGGCAACGCGCGCATGCTAAATCAAATTAATTATAAAAATACCACAAATACATGAGAAAAGACTCTAATGAAAATCAAATCAATATATAAATGTCAAACTTGCATTTTTAAGTACGTGAACGCCGCCACGATCGTTTGATCTGTCTGCGCTTACACGATAGTGATCAACTCAAGCAAGCAGCGTAAAAATTGCTCAAATCGGCCATTTAGGCTTGCGGTCATTTTCATATATTTAGTATATATATATATACATATATGTGTGTACAAGCATATGTATGAATACATATATCACCTACTGTAACTGTGATTTCAACTTTATTCAATAAATTAAAATTTCTGCAGGTCCTACTCGTTAAATGCTATTATTTATGCAAATAGAAAATGTATTTTGAATTTTTTCCTTTTATTGTTTGATATTTTCGTATGTTACAGCCAAATCTTCAACTTTGTTGCCAATTCATACAAATAATGTGTGTGCTTGTAATCATTCATTAAATATGCATTAGTTTTTCTAACTGATTTTTTGATTGTGTCATTTTATTACTTTTTAATTGCCGATATGCATTCGTTAGTGTTTTTTGTTATAACACGAACTGTGTATATTAAGTTTAACATGAAGTTTGAATTCTCAGAAGAAAAGATCGGTAACGCTATAAAGTATATATTTATATATATATAAAACTTAAGTTTCACGTTTTCTCCAGCGTTAGCTCCTAAACTACTGAACCGATTTTTATAAAATTTAGCACACTGTATCCAGTTTGATGCAATTTAAAAGATAGGATGGTTTATATCTTAATTATGCTATGTTAATATTAAAACTATTCATAAATAACTAAAAAAATATATTTCTTAACAACAGCATGTTTTATAAATTCAAAAAAAAAAAAAAATTTAATGTTCGGTGAAATGCAAACACAAGTTCTTGTTACGTTCATTATTTTTATATTCTTCTCACTGATGCAGCGTATATTAAGGTTTTTTCTACCAATATTACTTTTAGTTCGAATAAAAAGTTGAGGTTATGGATTATTATGGATCTCTAATTACACTTACTCTGCCCTTAAAACATTATAAATCAACAAAAAACATCATCGGCTCTAAAAAAAGAAAAAAAAAATTGGGTCGAATTCTGACAAAAGTGTCGAAAAACTGTCTAAACATATATTCATTTATATATATATATAAATATATATTCATAATCACTAACTTTAAATACACAAATTTTCAACAAACAATTCTAGCACTCTAACATAAAATAAACAAATCGAGTACAAAGTTTGTTTTACTAAAGCTGCTATTTGTAGAAATTGTGTAGAAATACATATGTAAATATTGCGTAGATTTCTACAAATGCCCTAGTCGACCTAACCCAACGTCACCTACTGCATTCAGTGCAGGAGATTAGTAAAAGTTCATAATGAGTTTTTCTTGTTCGGTTTCTCATAAACGAAAATATCAGAAAGTTTCAACATTTGTATTTTTATCTTTAGCCGTCTGTTGCTGATGATGATTTATTTCAATGCTATAAGAACCCACTGTCGGGAGATGCTTGCGACATGATCACTTCAACTGATCTGCAATGAGAATATGTAATCCACATAGGGTGTGCACTGAACAGAGAGCAAAATATTTGTTTTTACAAATGGCACGAAGTTCTAACAAGAAAGTATTTTATTTAGGACTTTTTTTTTTGTCATTCAACAATTTAGTACTCAATATTCATCATAGTAGTCATTTTTATACCCTGAACAAGGTATATTAAGTTTGTTACGAAGTTTGTAACACCCAGAAGGTAACGTCGGAGATCCTATAAAATATATATAGGCTGACGAGCTGAGTTGATTTAACCATGTCCTTTCGTCTATATGTTTTATATCGCGCTGAAATCTTGCAATCATCTTTTTCTCTCTCACATTTGTCGGAACCGCCGATACCGGACGACTATAGTATATAACTGCCCTACAAACAACGATCAGAATCAAGTTCTTGTACGGAAAACTTTTTTATTTTACTAGATAACTTCACGCATTGCATGAATTATTATCTACAGCATTTTCATAATATCCGAACAAATTTTCAGGTTGGGCTACTATAGCATATAGCTGCCATACAAACTGAACGATCAAAATCTAATACTTGTATGGAAAAACTTTATTTGTGAAGGGTATTCTAGCTTCGGTGTAACCAAGTTATCGTTTTTTGCTTCTTTTGATTTGTTTAGTCGGCAATAGTTCAAAGACTAATCACATTCCTTTGCACAAACAGTTAGTTAACTCATTAGAACTAAACAATTAACATAATTATAAATAAATATTCCTCACTCCGCGTACTTAAAAATAGATACTCGTATATAATACAAATTGCGATTCAATTGGAGTCATAAGATCAAATTTTCCACAGCTATTTTCTGCCTTTACTTCTAATCGATGCATAGTTGCATAAAATCTATTTATTTTTCTGTACACTTTTCACTCCACAATTGCTAATTAAGCGCTCAAATAGACTTGCTGTCACATTTTTGAAACAATTTCCATTACAATTCATTCAATACTGCACTTTTGTAAACACTAATGAGCTAAAAATATAATAATAAGTAAACATAAGTAAAAATTATTTTCATTAAATCGCCATTCTACTCATTAGCGCAATTTAATCGGAGTTTAAGTTGCGCGACCTTACCTACTTTTGATTAAACGGCAACTCATGTGGGGACACAGCTGTCGCGCGTACCAGTGACGAGCGCATCCGAGTGTGTGTCCATGTATAAAAACTAAAATATATAGTAAAATATCTTGTAAACACATGTA